GGGGGGGGGGGTTGGGGGTGAGGGGAGTTTGGTGGCGACAGGAAGTAACGGGGGGGCACAGGGAGCTTGGCGGGCCGCTGGGAAGAGCTCCGCGGGCCGCATGCGTTTTTGAGACCCCTGATCTAATATGACTTTTTGAACGTAAATTGCACATCTAATCTCCCTTGAGTGACTGCTCCATGCAGTGGATAACAGCTTACTACTGCTACCGGTTGATGGGAGTTGCTCCTGTTGCTCCAATCTATGCTGGGATGCGGAGAGGTAAACCCTGCTGGGGTTTAATAAAAGAGGATAATTTGTATCACAGCAGCTCCTAGAGCCAAGCTCGGGGTCCCCGTTGGGCCGGGGAGCGAGGACAGCTTTGGACCCGGCTTTGTTCGCACTATTGAATTAAGCCAAGTGTCTGAGCAGGAATCTCACGTTGTCTCAGGAAGGGAAGGGGTCCTGCCGTGAAGAAACAATGAATACCAGCCAGAGCTGTCCTGTGCCTTGTCGGACCCGGCTCGCATTGTGTCCTCAGCACAGGTCGGTTCACTTTCATCCGCTGGTGGGTTCATTTGTTCAGACCGCCGGACCCTGGAGCTGCTGAGAACTGGGCGGGTAGGCAGGGCTAGCAGACCGACAACCTCTACCAGCCCAACAGCGGCCAGGTCTGAGCAACTTGTTCTGCAGGGGAAGCATAGGCCTCGTCTCCAATCGAGTGACTCGGGGTGAAAACGCTTGTGTACACGCGGTGTAACCCATCCCTGTGCACTAGCGCCGCGTTCATCAGGGAGCGCCCTTGCAAAGGGGATGAGCTTTGCTTCGGATTGGAATCGCTGGGGCTTGGAAGTAACTTTAGCAAAAACTATTTCTGAGGGTAAATTCTGCTTCCTGGTAAATAGGAGTAAACCATGTTCGGGCCCAGTGGAGTTACGCTGGGATAAATCACAGGCAGAATCCAGCTCAGCGTTACGAGATAGGGTCAGTTATTATTAAGGCACGACTAAATATCGCTGCTCCGCTCCGCTTTGCAAAGAGCTACACAATACACCTCCTTGTGGAGCCCCGGGTGGCTCTCGGAGCCGGGAGCCTCCCGCCACCTTGTCTAGAAAAACGCTGTGAGCGTCTAAAGACGAACGTGAAGTAAACGCTCTTGGCATGCGAGGCAGTGTTGCAAACAGAACGCAAGTCTCCTGGTTAATCACGCAGGGGCTCGTTTATTTAAATGAATTGCAAAATTAAGCTCCACAAAAGTCCCAGATAAAGAATAACCAAACCAGCATGGGAGTCTGCCATGGACAGTCAGAGGCGATGGAAAGAAGCAATTGGACTTTCCTTTGCACCGGGGCGGGTCAAAAGTTGTACTGAAAACGATCCCCTTTTTGAATTATTTTGGTAAACTTCTACTTAAAAAATACTATCTATTCCTTTGTCATTGTTGCCTTCTCTCTTCATGCCCCTGCCCTCCCGTCATCGGACTTTTTTTTAGGTGAAGAAAAGAAGGGAAAAGATCAAAGACTGACAGAGAAGCGAATAGAAAGAAAGAAAGTGAAAAACGACTGGCAAAAATATTGAAATGTCTCTAATAATTTTAGGGGGGGGGAGAAAAATGGGTCTGTTTCCAACCTTGAGCAATTGAAATGGCTCCAAAATTTCCAGCAATGTCCCCGTACTTTGGCCGGTTCCAGTCTACACTAGAGAAATTGCGCTCCTGAGTGGCTAACATAAATCAAGCGAATATCCTGTGGATCTGAGTCTCCTTCTGCACTCACACCTTAGAGGATCTTGCTTTTAGGCCCACAGACCCTGCCTTCAAACCCCATGGAATAACCCACCCACAGGGCCATCACAGCCACGTCAGTTCAGCTCCCAAGGTGGTAGCTGGGAGACTCCAGCTGGACAAAAATGGTGAGCACGGTGTCATCAAATCCGGCTTCCCATCAGCCTGCCCCACCCGGTCAATTCTTCACGGCTTGGAGACTTTCCATTGCAATTGGGTGTCTCGTGCTGCGCTCTAGCTCCACCACAAGATATGGGCTGGATGCAGGAACCACGGGGGAGCTTTTCTAGCTTTCATATCTAGGAATCTAGTCTCAGTGGAACCCTCTAAAGACCAGCCCTGTTTTTGCGCTACGAAGAAATGCCCTTTGAAGGCTGCTAAGCTGAATTGATCTGAGCTTCTGGCAGAGATCTGCCCATTACTGAAGATGAACTAACGCAGGGGGCAGCGATATTCCATCTAGCTCCTAAAAGGCTCGGCAACTGGTCACTATCCTCCCCTGCGGCTTCCCTGCTTGGTCGCTCCCGTTCTTCAGCGAGGGACCAGGCACATCTCGTACGTGGGGGGCACGTTCCCGAACCCACTCACTTTCGGGCTGATGTCAATGTCCTTTGGGGGCAGGAGGGGTTTCAGCGAGAAGCTCTGCAGGATGGTGGTGAAGTACAGGAAGAG